AATATTTTACCTGTTAAAAAAATAAATTAACATGACTTTTCATTTACAGAGAATTAGAAATAGAATAATTAAGCTCCATATATATTCCACTCATTGTCTTTCCTACTAATATAAAAATATTGCAAGATAATTCCTTCTTGATTAAGATACTGCACACGAACTTCATCATGCAAATTGCAAAAGTTTTTTTTCTTTTTTTTTTTTGATCGGCAAAATGAATATTATTAGAAATAAAATAAGAATACAAGGGGTACTCCACCCTTTACATCATCTTACATGAGACCATTCAATCCCAGTGCAAAACCATTCAAAATTCCTTTTCATTTACATGCTTCCCCGGGGTTCACAAGCCACAATTCCTTAGCCAAATCTGTATTTTGCTTGGCCCTAATCCAATTTAGTGAACGCAGCTTGATTAAGTCCACCACCATGGCTCGAGTGTCATTACCTTCTTTGAAAATCAGTTGATTTCTCCACAACCAAATGGACCAAATAATTGTAAACCATATCACATACCAAATTTCCTTCACTTTCTTATTTTGCACCATACCCATGTGTTGCTGCAGATGCTTCCAACCTTCACACGTAAGGATTGCCTGCAATCCCCACCACGCGTAAGCTGCATGCCAAATTGCCCATGTTGCATCACAGGTGAAGAATAAATGGCTAGCTGTTTCAGTTTGTTTGCCACAAAAGATGCATGCAAAATCAGTATTTGATCCAACTATTCCTCTTTTTACCAGGTTATCACCAGTGGGAATTCTATTTTGCATGGCTTTCCATACAAATGCGGAGACTTTAAAAGGCACCTTATTATTCCATAACATACTAAACCTTCTTGCGTCTGCCTCTCTGTTGCTGCTTTTTAATAGGGTGTATGCAAATTTTGTTTAGTAAGTTCCCTTCGATTCATACTTCCACCTCCAGGAGTCTTGTTGTCCTTATTCCAGCTTGCTCCCATGCAATAGCCTGTTAAGATCCTGCACAAGAGTATTTTCACGTCCTAGCAATTCCCGACTCCAACTCCATTTCCAAATCCATTCTCCATTTCTCCATTCACCCATATTTTTAACTAAAGCATCCTTATCTTTTGCCAATCTAAATAATCTATTGAATTTCTCCCTAAAAGGCGCATCCCCACACCATTTCTCATGCCAAAACAAGGTATCATTCCCCTCCCCCACTGTTTTTACTACTCCCTTGTACACCCATCCCTCATCACTTCCTCTTTCTTTATCTAATTTCCACAGTGCCTTCCACCAGTATGAGCTATTCATTTTCACCTCCCTCCCTTCCCAATCCCTTCTCCTGTGAATCCCATATTTGGCCTCAACTACCCTGTTCCATAAAGCTTCTTTCTCCACCACCAATCTCCATCGCCACTTTCCTAAGAGTGCCATGTTAAATTTCTCCAAGTCCTTAACACCTAATCCCCCATCCTTTCTACTATTGCATACTTTCTCCCAACTAACCCATGCAATCTTCCTATCCCCCCCTTTAACCCCCCATAAGAATGATCTTTGAATTGAGGAAAGAAGTTTAATTACCTTTTTAGGGGCTCTCATGGTAGAGAAGAAATAAACTGGGATACTTGATAGGACAGCATTCAAGAGAACGATTCTACCACCGAAGGATAGCGATTCACACTTCTAGTTTGACGGTTTACGTCTCAAGCAATCAACAACAGGTGTCCAGGTTGATATGTTTCTCGGGTTAGCACCGACTGGGATTCCGAGGTATTTGAAAGGAATAGAACCCTCCAAACAATTAAGAGTTTCGGCCCGTTCACTGGTCTCCTCACTCTTCACATTGGTTCTATATAAGGCACTTTTGAAGAAATTCACCTTGAGTCCTGAAGCCAATTCAAAAATACGAAGAATCCCCTTGATTGTCTTTATGTTCTCTTTTGATGCCTCGCAGAAGAATATAGAGTCGTCAGCAAATTGTAGGTGTGTGACCTCCAGTCCTTCTGTTCCCACCGTAGCTCCATTGTACAAATCTTTCTCTTTTGCTTTGAGGATAAGCCCATTAAGTGCTTCAGCCACCATAAGAAACAGGAATGGGGCTAATGGATCACCTTGTCGCAGTCCCTTCTTCATGCTAAATTCCTCTATGGGGCTACCATTCCCCAGAACTGATATAGATGAAGTAGATAAGCATTCCTTGATCCACCTTCTCCATTTCAAACAGAATCCTAGCTTTTCCATCATCAAATCTAAAAAATTCTAGTTAACACTATCATAAGCTTTTTCAAAGGCTACTTTGAATATCAAAGTGAGCCTCTTTCTTTTCTTTGCCTCATGAATAACTTCATTAGCTATCACGATGCCATCAGCGATGTGTCTCCTTCTTACAAATGTTGACTGGTTCTAGCTAACGATAGACGACATCACTTTCCTCAATCTGTTGGCAAGAAGTTTAGATATTATTTTATACAAGCATCCAATCAGGAATATAGGCCTAAAATCCCCCAATCCCTGGGGAGAATCTTTCTTTGGGATTAAAACCATGAAAGACGAGTTGCTTCCTTTCACCAATTTCCCATTCACCCAAAATTGTTTGAAAAAAGCCACGACATCCTGCTTTAAAGTTGGCCATAATCTTTTAATGAAGTTGAAGTTGAATCCATCTGGTCCAGGGCTTTTACTTCCATTGTAGTTCCACACGGCCTCCTTTATTTCTTCCTCTGTAAACTGTGCAGTCAGCCAATTGTTCTCCATTGAGCTCAGTTGTTTCCATTCATTAAACTCAATGTTAGGTCTGTTCCACTCATCATCATGAAACTTTAATTCATAATATTCTTTGATGAATTTTTTCACCTCGGAAGCTTCCCCAATCCAGACATTATTCTTCATGATCCCATCAATCCCATTGCTTTTTCTTCTCTTAGCTATACACCCATGGAAGAATTTACTGTTAGCATCACCTTCTTGTTGCCATTTCTGCCTTGACTTCTGGAACAGCAAGCTATCTTTCCTTGAACTCCATTCCCAGAATTGCTGAAAGCAAGTTTGTCTCTGTTCAATCTCACTAGCTGATAACACTCCATTCTCGGCTTTATCATCAAGCTTCTTTATCTCATCTCTAATTTCCTCCAATTTCCTATCAATGTGGCCAAATACCTCCTTATTCCATTTCTTCAAGTCATTCTTCAGCAATTTAAATTTCTCCTTCAGCTTGAATCCTTCCCATCCCTCTACTCTATAGCTGCTCCATTTTTCCTAAACAAATAAACTAAACTCCTTGAGCTTTAACCAACAATCAAGGCTTCTAAAAGGCTTTGGCCCCCAATCCATGTTGGAGCTGATTAGCACTATTGGGCAATGATCAGAAATATCTCTTTTTAAACCTTTTTTGATGAGTTCTGGAAAATTGATAATGAACTCTGTGGACACCAAGAATCTATCCAACCTGCTCGTTGCTGTTCCATCAGACTTAAACCATGTGAACTTCCTTCCCCTCAATGGCAAATCTACTAGCCCTATTTCCTCAATAAAACAGTTAAATGCTCTCATGGCTAAGTCGTCAAAGGATCTTCCCCTTTTTTCTTCCCTATTACGAATTGCATTAAAATCACCTCTTATGCACCAATTCCCTTCACCATACATATTCATTAAATTTGAAATCTCTTTCCAAAGCAATTGTTTACCTTGATTCTCACATGGAGCATATACATTTAGAAAATAACATGGCATTTTGTCTTTCCCCCAAAGTCCATACATGCTGCAGAACCCACTACCCAGTAATTCTTTACTTACTTCAAACAAGTTAGAATTCCACATGCATAAAATCCCTCCAGCTCTCCCTTGAGTTGATTTCATAACCCAATTACAGTTATCCCCACCCCAAATAGATCTGCATTTCCTATCATCACATACCTCCATTTTCGATTCTTGAATGAAGACTATATCTGCTCCTTCCTTCTTGATTAAATCCTTCACTCCTCTCCTTTTTTTACTGTCTCCCAAACCCCTAGCATTGATCGATAAGATCTTCATGAGCAAATCACTGTTTCCCCTTTGTTAGCTGACGTAACCATTTTTTGGGTAGCAAACGCAGCACGATCCCTTTCCTCCATCTCCTTGAGTCTTTGGATCACCTCGTCTACGTTATTCTTGTCTACTAGACCCAGCTGCTTTCCCACCGACCATAGTTCTTCTGCTTCTCTCCAGCAACTTTTCTTCGAATCTTGCTTCTGAATTGAATTAATAGTTTGACTGTTGCATGCTTCTCCCCTCTTGGTTAAAGCTTCACTAGGTGAGACCCGATTTCTGCTCTCCTTTTTCTTCTGCCTTCTAATCTCACTTCTTTTCCTCATCCTTCTCTCCATCTGTCTTCTTCTCTTTCTATCTCTCGCTAGCCTTTCTGCCCTTGACTACAAAATTTCATCTTCACTCGCTAACCCTTCCCAAAATGGTTGAGTTTCCCGATCCTTTTCCTCCTGTATTTGTCTTGTGTCTACCCTGCTCCTCACACTTTCTTCTGAGATCTGGTTTGGATTTTCTCCATTATTAGCCATCCCTTCTCTTTTTGATCTTAAATCTTCAAAGGCCCTTTTGTTGCTGCTTCTTTTAGGAGATGCTAAAGTATCCGTCTTGGCCTTTTCTCCACATATGGGCCAAGCCTCATTTTGGTTGTGTTGTTTTTGGCCCAAATCCAAGGAATTCTGCCTTGGGCCAATACACAGGTTTGATTGGATAGGGGTGTTTTGAGGTCTATTGCTTATCTGTTTGCTACCATCCTCCCTAGCTTTTTAGGATATCAATAGCATTTTCCAATGCAACAACTGCTCCTCTCGCCTCGAGTCCTTTCTAACCGCCACAAAATTTGAATTTTGATTGACTGCATTTAATGAGTCATCATGAGTAAGAAGCTTGTTCGATACTCCATCTTCTTCCTTGCCCATCGTCATTGATCTTCTTGGTTCAACAGGAGCAAATTCCTCCGTCACCGAGCGTTGTAGCACCTCATCTTCATCCTCTAGTACTTGCCAGTCGCCTTCCCATTCCTCCTCATTACAGAATTCACCATTAGACTCATCCGACCACTCCTCCGAGTTTGTTACTCCATCACTAATCAAGTTAAAGTCGGATTTCAAATTGAAAAGATTATCAACTCCAACCTCCTCACTAACCCGAATCTGGAAGATCTTCTCACCAACTTTGACTCTTAGGACTTTTTGTATATTCTCCTGAACAGAAGTCAAGATAAGGATTTTTGCCACATCCAATCTTTTCTTTTTAATTGTGCTGTCATCCAAGGAGATGAATTTCCCACATAAACATGCCACAGTTTCAAAAAAACTGCTTTTCCAGATGTGTAAAGGAACACCTTGGCATCTCAACCAAGTGAACCTCTCCATAGCTACTTCATTAGGCTTCCATGGTCTCACATTGGAAAACCATTGAGCTAGCCAATCCTTCCCCTGTTCAACTAAATGTTTAAGCTCTTCGGCGTCCGCGGATGAAATCAAGACCAAGTTCCCTCCCATTGGAGTTACTTTTGCAGAGAAATATCCCTCCATGAGAAATTTGTCTTGAAGAGTGCTAATGATCACCAAGCTCTTTGCTGTACCCACAAAGCAATCCCGTAGCCATTTCAGTTCTTCTTCCTCTGCCTGCACCTCAAGTCCCTGCCATTGACCCTGTTCTGACTTCCTCCTAAACCTCTCAATTCCCCGGTCATGTTTCTGTTCCCTATTTTTTACTTCAGTTTGATTCCTTACCCCATTTTTCACCGCTTCTGCATAAGACACTGTGATCTTTCTGTTTATCCCAGGTCGCAATGAAGAAGGAGTATTTTGTTTTTCCTTGTTTTCATAGTTAGAGAATCTGGCTGCATTTGCTTTAATCATCTGCTCCCCAACTTTGATTTGATTCAGCTTGATCTCCATCTCCCTTATGTTCTTAACCTCCAGAAATCGAACAAATCCGAAGCAACGTCCCCATTTGTCTTTTTTCTTTGCCACATACACCTGTATCGCCCTTCCACATTTAATGAAAGTTCTCCACATTTCACTGATTTCCCAGTTCTCCGGAAAGTTAGTGAAGAAAAAGGATGTTGCTTGCTTTAAGACTCCCTTGCCATAACCTCCAAATGTTCCTCGTTGTCCTTTGGCTGTCCCTTTCTGAGTCCTATCGTATCCCAACTGAGTTCTATTGCATGGTTTTGGATATTTAGGGTGATAGTTGCGCTCCCTCACTGGTTCGCTCACAGGGTAAAGGTGTGGTTTACCTCCGTCCCGTCAAAGAAGATGGTAGTGAGGAAGGTGGTGGTTTTGTGGCTGGTTTCTCTCTCTACTGGTTTTCTCTCTCTCGCTCATGGTTTTTTTTTTTTTTTCTTTTTTGCAAATTGCAAAAGTTGGACCTTGGACTCAAGATGTCGACGGACTTAGGTCAAAAAGTGCTTTTAGTTTTGGACATTTTTATAAAGTAATTTTG